CGGCGGTGGTGGGGGAGGTAAAGTTGATGAACCGGCTGCGTGGTGCTCGGCTGCCGGCTGGGGTAAAACCACAACACCCCCCCCAGAGCACAGACCCTGATTCAGTTTCTGAAGAGCAAGAGAAATCTACAGGAGCTGGGCTAATCTCCTCTAACTTCAGTAAATTCATATTATCTGTCTTGCTGGTACATCTGTATAATACCAACATAGAGGTATAATCTTCACAGCTTGTGAACCCGATAGGGGCTATCTGATGGTCTTGCTTTCAATGGGCATGGGTTATCTGAGGTTCAGAGTTACAAACAGGAAGAAAGCTGGTCTCTGTAGGGGAGAAGAATAATAAATCAGCTTGCAGGGCTCATATGTGTTCGTACTGGTGACAAACTACTTCATTTGGGAGGAAGTATTTGTGATTTTTAGGTCTAATTTTTCCAGTCACATCTAGCATGTTGCCTTTTCCAAATAATTTAGAAACATTTGGCTGTTCTTATCTTTGACTAGGTCTGCTTATCAAAGTGCAATTGTTCTATTTCTTCTAGTGCCTTCACCAACGCAGATTGTGGTAACATCCAACAATTTCAAAAGTATCTTACATTGGCAGTACCCGCCTATGTCTGAAACTCCTCATTTTATTGTGGAAATCAAACCTTACAAGTAAGTTCTTATTCTTTTTGTCATTCACAGTACCTGATACTCCCTAGAAGTATATAAAAGCAATCAGTCCATGGTAAATTTTTTTGGTTTCTATGTGGTGAAGTCATGCAGGGTAAAAGTTGCCTAAGTGTAAATTAAGGCAAAATCTGTCAAGTAACAGGATGGTTGAGGTTGGCAGGGACCTCTTGACGTCATCTAGTCCAACCCCCTGCTCTAGCAGGATCACCTAGAGCAGTTTGCCCGGAACCGCGTCCAGGTGGCTTTTGAATATCTCCAGGGATGGAGACTCCATAACCTCCCTGGGCAACCTGTGCCAGTGCTTGGTCACCCTCACATGTGTTTTGTCACAGGCAGTGGATTGTACAATATCATGCAATTGAAATTGTATTAACTATTACTTGATCTGTTTTACAGTTTAGGTTACTATAAGATCATCTCATCTTGTGTGAACACTTCAGCTCATTTTTGTGACTTCTCAAGCGAAATATCTGAGCCTTTAACTTCTCACTGGCTTCGAGTTAAAGCTGTTGTTGGGTCACAACAGTCTGAGTATGTTGAGACAAATGAGTTTATTTTGCAAAAGCATGGTAAGTTTCATTGTAAACAAAACCTTGTAATTTTTCCCAAAATTTAAAACTTAGCCTTCTTGCTGTATTATTGTCTCATTTGGGAATATCATAAAGTCAGGAGTCAAGGATGAAATGAAGTATGATGGTTGTTCAGTAGGGACTTCTGTAGTTCTGCCTCTGTAGGGACTTGTTAGCCCTGTCACTGTGGTATCTGAATATTTTTTCAAAACTACTAAAGGCAAGAAAGTGATGCTGATGGTGCAGTCTGTGCATCCTTCCTTTTTTCTTACCTGGTGTCTCAGACGCCGCTTTAGGGTAGGAAACTGCCATTGGCAGCTGTGGACCTTTAGGCATCATTGAAATAGTATTCAGGTGGTTGGTGATACCTTGCTTGATACTATAATCCCATGTACTGACAGCTTTGGGTGTCTAGATGCTATCTAGAAGCTATGGGAGTCCACTGTACCTGGATAACTAACAGTTCCTCATTCTTCATGTAAATCCTTTGGGCAGCTTCAGGAGAAATCGCAGTTTTTCACATCGGTATTGTCAAAGTAAATTGTCTGTCTAGGCTCCAGGCCAACCTGTCCAAAACAGTGGGGCAGACCCCAGCATTAAACAGGTGGTGCAAAGCAGACACAACGGAGTGAGAAAAGACTGAGAGACTTCCTCTCATACTTGCTCCATTTTCAACGTATAGCTTTCAGGCAGGATGTTGCGCATGAGATTCTCCCTGACTTGCTCTGTGCTTTTACATAGAGCTGGATTTCTGCATTTCTGGAGCTGAAGAAAGTGGAGTCTCTCTTTGTTTTCTGCTATGATTCCCTCCCCACCTAATAGTCCCATGACTTGGAATCAGTGGCTGGTTTCTAGTGTTTGACAAAGAAGTCATGGTAATAATGCTGAGTTTGACAGTTTGCAGAAAATTGGTGACCATGTATGGAGGAGAGAGACAAAATTGTTTTCCCATTGAACAAGAAACTCATACATTCAGTCAGATCATTAGACATCAAAAATTCATGTAGGCCATTGCCGTGGGAAATCAGGCTTCCTAAGTACTGTTGCTCATGATGAGATTTGTGTAGATTTTCAGATAGCCTTTGTTTCACTACAGTATTGTTTTTAGCTGAGCGGGATTTATGGTGGCTTCTAGTCAACAGTATTTTGTGTTCTTTTCTCCTTCACATATATATGTTTAATTGCTTTGTTAGTTTTTTCTGTTGTCAGTGAGCTGAATTTTTATGGCCTTATATGTATAGGAAAGCTGGATTGCTTGACAGTGAAATTCTGCACAATCTCTGTTTCCATTTTAGAAGCAGATTCATGAATGCATCCAAATGCCTCTGTTACTTCTAAGTGTCACAGCTGTGTGATATTAACAGCATTGACATAAACATGTAATTCTTCTCAAATCTCTGATGAATTTGGAAAGCTAGCTATAAATAGCATATCTTATGTTCAAAGCTTTGGCCTAGTAGCAAAGGTGCAATGTGTTGCAGGAAAAATAGGACCACCAACACTGAATCTCTCAAGGCACGGTGATAAAATCGTGGTTGATATTTACCATCCTGCATTCCCATCTGCGGAGCTTCTTCCTCAGATCAGTGGCATTTATTCAGAGCCCATGTACTTGGTGACTTTTTGGGATCGTAAAAATCAGGTAAGTTCCAAAATGAAAAATTCAAATTAAAAATACCTGTTTATCTTAAACACATAGACAAGGGGTTCACTCCTATGACACACAGAGCCAACAGGTATCAAGAAAACAGTTGAATGTAACATAGGACTACTGAAGCCTTAAAATGTCATGTGCGTCACAGTGTGATACGTGACTGGAAGGTCTGAATTCTGGTTGTCCAAGTGGACTTCTTATAACAAAAATGAGATTATTGCATTAGCTGTATACAAGATAGAGTCACTGGATCCCATGCTACTCTTTCTGCATACGTGCTTGTGCCCATTTCACTTATCTAGATAGATATTTCATTTAAGAAGGTTACCTTTCAAGATATTGATACCACTTTATTTAGCAATCATGTAGGGTCAACTTGAGGAAAATGATAGTAGGTATGTTTATTCACAGTTACCTTTTCATGTGCATTCAGCTACAAGTTCTATAAGTGAATTAAAAATGTGAATCTTGACTATGAACAGCACAAATTTTAGATGAAAGCATCATGGTCTAATCAAATATAACATCTTAAGGTAGCTCATAAGCTGATAGCCAAAACTCACACAGCTTTTGCAAAGCATATAGATGATCTGGAGTACAATGTTCAGCTCTGAGGTCCTTTTGGAGTGAGTCCAGAGGAGGGCCGTGAAGGTAATCAGAGGGCTGGAGCACCTCTCCTATGAGGACAGGCTGAGAGAGTTGGGGTTGTTCAGCCTGGAGAAGAGAAGGCTCCAGGGAGACCTTATAGCAGCCTGCCAGTACCTGAAGGGGTCTACAGGAAAGCTGGAGAGGGACTGTTTATCAGGGAGTGTAGTGATAGGACAAGGGGTAATGGCTTTAAGCTGAAAAAAGGGTAGATTTAGATTAGCTATTAGGAAGAAATTCTTTACTGTGAGGGTGGTGAGGCACTGGAACAGGTTGCCCAGAGAGGTTGTGGATGCCCCCTCCCTGGAAGTGTTTAAGACCAGGTTGGATGAGGCTTTGGGCAACATGGTCTAGTGGAGGGGGTCCCTGCCCATGGCAGGGGGGTTGGAACTAGATGATCTTGGAGGTCTCTTCCAACCCAAACAATTCTATGATTCTAAGTAGGAGCCACATCTAATAGTGTTTTAACATTTTTGGAAGTGTTGGAAGGTACTGTAATATTTATATTGTTGTATTGAGTCAAATGATATAATGTGACTTTCATTTTTTGCAGAGTAAAGAAGAGTTTGCTGAAGACAACTGTACGATGTATAAATGTAGCCTCAACATCTTTTGAAGGGTCCACTTACTGTGTTTCAGCGAAGGGAAGTTTTTATGGCGATCTGATGATTGGTGCCCCATCAGAAGAAAGCTGCATCCATGTTCCTCTCAAACAGACACTGAGTAAGAGGATTCTAAAACTTAGTAAGAACATATTGAGTCTGAGCAGAGATCTAAGTCTTCGAGCTCTGATACAGCTGTGGGATGACTTGGATGCCTATGGGAGAATATGAAAAAAGGGAAAGCATGGTCATTCTTTTCCAAATGCACTTTCCCAGTTCTAAAGATGTTTAAAGATCATGTATTATTTTCAAGTAATCTTGACTTTTTTGGGTGCTTTTCCTGCTTCATTGGTATTACAAAATCTGTTTCCGTTGCACCTGATCATTGGTGTAATTAACAAATGACAAATGGATCATTCACTGAGTTATATATCTGTGGTTTTCAGAAACATTGTGCCTCTCTCCTATCAAATGGCTTTTTACTTAGTCTCATCACTGAGGAAAATGTGATAGTTTGAAGAAACTATATTTGTGGTCATAAAATTGAGGTATCGACATCTTTTTCTTAATTAAAGAGAACAAAGGCTGCTCGTGACCCAAATTTATATACAAACTTTGTAATGTTATTTCATTAAGGCCCAAAACTTCGCGAGAGAAAAGAAATAAAATTGATAAAAGCAGTTGTGTTCATTCTTTTGTGCAGAAGAGCAACAGTATGACGGGGGGGGAAGGTTAAGGAGAGTCAGACTAGTGGAATCTTACTGCTAATAGTTAACAATTCTGTGTGTTGGAAGATTTCACGCTTTAATTTTATTGTACATAGACTACATGTAATTATTATGTTAGTTAATGTGCTGTCACATGGAAAACGTACAAAGCTGTTCATCCCCGTGTGTCATCTCTGAGGAACAAAAAATTAGTTATAAAATTCCTTTACCCATATAAAATCGTGGTTATATAAATTGAAAATATTCTGTTACTCTAATTTTTATTTAGTTAATATAATGCTTTATAAATTAAGTTTTCTTGAGTGAAAAAGGTGGTAAATTGATAAATTCACACATTACAGCTAAGCATTCTGAGTTATTACAGTTTCTGAAGTTATTCTGAATGATACAGCAGTGGTTTATTTTTCCAAACTTCCTAACAGATTTTGCTCTAACTTCTTAGGCATGCAGGATATTATCATTGTCTGTAGTGTCATTCTGAGCCTGAGTGTAATTTTGACAGTATGTTGTGGCTGCAGGAAGCTAAGGAAGAACAACATAAAGCTGCCTAAGTCTTTGGTAAGTTCAGACTTATCTATGTCAGATTTTTAATATCCAACTAGGTAACTTTTATAACTGTAACATCTTATGCCTGTCTCTCTCTCTTTTTTTTTTACCATGGTCTCATAGATGTTTAGGATTTATACCAGTCTAATATTCTGACAGCCTCTGCAGCCAGATGTCTTGTATTTTTTTAGGGTTAGACTTCAGTCTCTTTTTAACTGAAGTAACAGTAGTTGGTATAAGTTGAGCACTTAGTTCTTAAAAACTCTGTGTGAGTGTACATAGACAGGTTTGTATTCCTTCTAGTAGCAGAGACATAGAACCACAGAATCGCTGAGACGAGAAGAGACTTTCTGAGATCGTCTAGTCCAGCTGTTTTGCTCAAAAAGTGTCAGCAAGAGTGGGTTGCCCAGGACTTTGTCCAGTTGGGTTTTGAATACCTCCAAGGAAGGAGACTCCACAGCCACTCTGGGCAACCTATTCCAGTGTTTATTCACCCTCAGAGTAAAAATTGTTTTCCTACAGTCAGATAAAATTCCATGTGTTTCAGTTTGTGCCCATTTCCTTTTGTCCTGTCACTGGACACCTGTGAGATTCCTTCATTACATGGTAATATTGTGATACTGCTAGGTAAAGTGATGTGCAGAGTAAGGGGAGGGGAGGAGTAATAGTGGTGTAGGAAGAGGGAAGAACAACTAGGGGAATTCTGTTCTCACAGTGAGCGCTCACAGGGAAGAGAGGTCAGCAGCTGTTCTACCTTAAAAGCTCCCTGTGGCCATCCTTAGGAAACAGAGTTGGATGGTCCTTAAAGAGCAGCAGCACTCCTTGCTTTCGCATCAGGCAAGAGCAGAGTATCTGACAAGTACTGCCATAATGTCCTCCCGGTGTCTCATAGTCACAGCAACTGAACAGTCAGCAGCGGTTGGAACAGCTTTCCAGAACTGCCACGTGAGGTGGCAGTAAACGGTAATCATATCAAGAGCGTATCTCCTCAGCAGATGCAGGAAGTCTTGTAAGACTTGTAGAGAGAAGGGGCAGTGATCTTCAATTTCATGTTCGTCAACTTCAAGACCCTTCAAAGTGACTCCTTCATAGTGCAGGGGTAGCTCAATGCCTAAGGTCCCCCTGGAGCCTGCCTTCTTTGGAATAGAATATTAGGAGGTGAGATTGCTCTGACTAAATGGAGATAGCCAGTGAAGCTAGCCAGGTCCCTTTGCAGTAAGCAGTAATCTAGTCCATCAACTTGTGCAGCACAAGGTAATTCATCTCATTCTAAAATAATATGCATGCTTGGTCAGACAAAACACTTCATATGGACTGTGATGAAGCCATGAGACTAGTTCAGAGATAGCTGTTCTGTTGACTTTAAAAAATCAGATGAGAGAAACCTGTCTGATGGAATCTGCAGCTAGACTTCGATATCAAAACACACAGGCCTGTGGAAAAAGCGAGACACTAGAGATTTTTTCATCTTCATACCATTATGTAACTGTCTGAATACATAACACTGTCCTACATGCACACACAGTAATTTTTGTGGAGACCATTGTTCTAGCAAAAGACAGCTCATCCAGAATGGCAATGCTGTGCTCAATGGATCCACAGTTATCCTGGCTTCCCAGTACCACTGCATCTAAGGGATCAGGAAAAAGAGTATTGCACAAATTAAATGTGTGCTCCCTAACTCCTGTGAGCTTCCTGATGTATTCCCCAAGTTCACACTTCAGCTCACCTTGTAGAAACTTATTTGTGCGCCCATATTCTCATTTTACTGGGCTACATGTTACCTTGTGATTCCTGGCTTCCAGTGTGCCACAGTCTGATTCACATTCCACATCATGCCTTCTTGCTAAGGAGCTGAATGAAACCTGTAACTATTTATAAAGATTGTTATCTGGGTGGTCAAGCACCCAGACAAGGTCCCCAGGGAAGTGGTCACGGCCCTGAGCCTGTAAATGTTCAAGAAGCATTTGAGCCGTGCTATTAGATGTATGGTTTAACTTCTAATTTGCCCTGAGTGGAGTCAGGAGTTGGACTCTATGATCCTCGTGGATCCCTTCCAACTCAGGGTATTCTGTGATTCTGTCCATTTCCATTGAAGTCTCTAGTGACGAATATAAATTGCAGAGCTCATAAGGACAGTTTCAATATAGGTGATATGAATAATGTGGGAATGTAAAATGAATAATAACTATTGATTATTTTTATAATTAAAATCAATAAAGTATGAATAAATAATGTAAATAATATGAATAATAAGCTTTATGATATGAAGTTATCTCTGCTGGCATCTTGGAGCTGAGAGCCTGTCACTGACCTTTGAATGTATACCAGACATTTCTTTCCATATAGGTTATGACCATTGTGCTTTACCTGAGCTTGTCTGAAAATGAAACATCTAGGGAGTTTTTCCATCTGTTAAAAGGCAAGGCAAGGCATCCTGCCTTAGGACTGCTGCCTTCCAGTGATCCACTTCCTGGCAGCTTTAAGTAGATGCTAAAACATCATCTGAGTGACTTTCAGCAAGTTGGAATTCTCCAACAGAAGGAAAAATAAGAAAGAGTAACCATCAAGCAGCTGCCTTTGCTCAGTCTCATATACCCAAAGACAAGAAAAAAAAATCCATTGCCATTTAGATCTCAGGAGCTTTTATATTGTCTTTTCTGTGCTGTTTGTGACTCCCAAGAATAACATGTCAGTCATGTACAGGTCCTACTTCCACTGTCCAGCTGTCTTTCAGTATGGGCATTGAATGATTACCTTCATTAGAGAAAATGTTGGTTTAAATGTTTTAAACTTCCTTATTCATAGTAGGATCCTACCAGGAATATGCATCTGGTGAAATGGGACAGATTCCTTTACAAGACTTTGTCATGCTAGTCTTCTGCTGGATCACAGGAATCTGATGTTTCAGCAGTCCAGCTGTAGTTAGAGCCATTCATTTCCTTTCATTTATCTCACAAGAAGTATTTCAAGAGGCCATCTCCTTCCACCCACCATCTTCAGGCATTCCAATTTGTCCTGTGCTAGATTTTTGTTGTAAAATTTGTAATAAGGGCTTATCCACTTTAAAAGGAGCCTGGCCTTAATTTACTGATATGCTGTGAGCATCTCCCTCTGCTTTAACTTCAGTGTCTTTTTTTCAGTGCCTCTTATCTTTAAATGGTGGCAAATATTTTAGTCAGTAGGAAACATCCACTTAGACTCATTGAAAAGCATCAGCTTTCATTTTTAGTTCATACTTAAGTCAACTTTTCTGCTATCTGCTGGTGCTTTTTCTGAGTCTGGCAGAAATGACAAGGCTGTGTTCTCTCACTGTATTTGTAGAACATGGGTATTCACAAAACGCTTGAGAATTTTCTTTGTGACTCTGGCTTTTTTTGGTTATACAACATACGTTTTTGATTTGGAGAAATTGTAATTATTCCTGTAAATTTTGACTGATACTTGCCACAAATGATTGTCATCTTACGAGTGAGAAACTGCTTCATGTGAAGCTTTTATGAAGCTTTTTTTTATCTCCTGTGAGTATCTATAGGGCAGTAACATAGTCTCCTGTTTATACATTGACCCAGCATTGCTTTGTTGTGGAACCATGCAAAGGCTGTGCAGATTTTGTCAAGGTCTTAATAAGATTTGAAATGGACTTCTCAAACTCCCCTCCAGAAAACGTGCATCTGAAAATCACTGGGAATTCATAGGTAGACGAGCCCTTAGAAAAGAAAGTTAAGAAATACTGTTGATTACCTTAACTGTTACAGATTCCTTGGTATATGTTATTTATATGTATCCTTGAGCCTGACTTCCACAGGTGTATCTCCCTAGTCTGTTGAGACAGTGAAACACCTGACAGCTTAGGCGCTCTCAGAGGAAGATACCTGAGCACCTGCACGTGCCAGGAAATACTGCTGCCATCCAGCTTAAGCTTACTGGCTGTCAGTTTGCTAGTATTAAATAATGTGCATGGAAGATAAAATATTAACTTACCTAGAGTAAATACTTTTCTCTAAATGGCAGCTATATCTTAATTACGCTTGTTACTTGAGATGCTTTGAATGGCATTCCAGTTAGTGTAGTAAGCTGTGTTGATTCTTCTCTTTGAAGCTAGAAATAACTGCTTGAGTTGTTAAATTGTCTTACCGTCATGACTCAGTGGCTCTTACAGAACCTTTGGTACCAGGAAACTCACAAGGGTTTTTTCTTCTGATGGCTTCCTTCTTTGGATGGGAATGGGAGTGTCTTTGCACTGTCTTGCTTTGGTCAAAAACTCACTCAAGAGAAAAATGGATTTCCTTTTGAGAACAAAAAATCTTTGATGTAGTTGCACAGAGTACTTATTTTATCCTCAGGGTCTATTTCTAAGCATTGCCAGCCGGCAGCGTGAAATGCAGAACCTGTGTAGAGTACAAGGCATTTCCTTAATGCATTTTTAGGACTATGATTTTTAGAGCCGTGTGAAAATCCTAAAACTCATTGGTCTTTAACTTCAGTATAGCATGTACTGGTATGGGGAGAGATGGGAAGTTGTAAATGCAGCTTTTAGCTGCATATATATAGCATCTATAGCATCTCATTTTAATTCACATTCCTCAAGTATTGCAGCTTACATGGAGCATTATCTTCTCTTGTCGCTTACTGTGTGACTGTTAAGAGTCAGATTTTTGCTACCCTCAAAAAAAACTACAGATGCTGGTCCCTTTAAGGTCAGTGTCAGTATAGCATAAGTATCCAGTATTTTTTTCATATATTTGTATAAGCAGGTTTTCAAAAGGTACATTAATCCTGCCAGCTGTTCATAATGTTTTCAGTATGTATGCATGATTGATTGCATGCTGGTTTCTGCAACTATCTTTTAAGCATCTGCTTCTTATGGATGGGTGGTTTCCGTACTTACTCATGGAGATCACTCTGAATGTTCTTTATATAGTGTTCTGTTTCCACGTAACAGAAAATGAACATCCAGAGAGAATGATGGCTGAATGGCAGCTCGGTTGTAGTGTGTTACATTCTCAGTGTCAGGAGCCACCTTGTTGCTCTTTCTTACTAGTTTTCCAGTGGCAGTCCTTGATTCCCAAGGGGATCACCTCACCTTAGTGGTGCTAACACAGCTTATCTGTAAAAGTCACTTAGATTACGCATAACTGCACTCTAGTGGGGGTTTGGTTTTTTGTTTATTTGTTTTGGGGTTTGTTTGGTTTTTAAACTCCACTAGTTTCATTGATGGAGCATACACCACAGCACCATAAGCAGATTATTGGGGCAACTGAGGGGTAAGTTACGGGGCTGAAGTGGGAGGTAAATGCAAGTTCTAATGAAGTCAGCATGCTGTGGAGGTATGAACGTAAAGATAACAGCCTCACCACCTTCTGATCAAGGAAGATTCTTGAAAAGCACAGTCAGATTTGATCGTCTGGTTTTGATGGTGCTCTCAGTTCTTGCACAAATACAGACTCGGAGTTTCTTTTTACCTATTTGTAGCTTTTCTTAAACAACGTTATTTTTCTCCCCCTTTTCCCTACCTACATCCCTTTCTTCCAAATTTGCCTTAACCGATACTTCAATCAGAGTATTTGTTTACAAAGTATGTCAAAAAACAATGATTGTGTACATTTTATTAAGAGTTTAGTTTATCATAGTACTTGCTAGTCTGTGATACACTTACATAGTGAATTATGAAGTCTGGATAAGGACACTATTAATCGAGTAACCCCTTTTTCCCTATGCTTTCCGTTAACTTTAGGGAGCACCATCATCCAGCTGAAAATTTACCCTACTTTGTTTTTCATGTGTATTCTTGAGGACACCTTTAAAAACAAAATCAAATCATAAGAATCTAAACAGCCTGAAGGCATGTCATAATCATTTAAAACAAGCTGGAGCCTGGCCATTGCAGGAATTAATATGTTCTTCCTGTGGAGGGGTTTCAAAGTGAAACATTAAAGTTTTGTCGCAGCATTGAGGGAGTGCTTAGTGGCACAGGAGAAATAACTAGGAAGACTTCAGCATAGATGTGACTACTGGGTATGCATAAAGGTCCTCATGTCATTTTAAAGATCTCTTTCCAAAGAGCTCTTCCCTGCCAGTTGAGACAGTTGCCACAAAATATTACGGTCATTACAAGTTATACTCATTAGCTATAAAGTATGAAAGGTTTCCCCAGCTAGTTGGAAGAGTATTACAGCTTTTCCTTCCTTTACTGTTTTCCTTTCCATTGCAAACTTCAAATGACTTAAAATACAGTGGGTGACATGAAATGGATTTGGTCCTTGCAATGTATTTTCACGTAGAAAGCATTTTTGAGAGCTTGCATAAAAGTGTTAATGAAACAGTTGAAGTCATAGATATAGGCTAATGACCTTGCCAGATTCTAATTTTGCTAATTTCTGTTGGGATTGATTGTAATGACATTAAATTTGTATTATGAACTTGTATCTTTTTTTTTAACCTCTAAACTTTCACAGAAGATAAAGACAATAAATTAGTAGATTATGTGGAACTAAAACTGATTCTTATTTTTCCATTTAAGGTCAGTGTGATAAGAAACCTGAACACAGACAGCATTTTAGAAGCAAAATCAGAGGCAAAATACATTTCTGTAATAAGCTTCGTGCCAGGCCAGTCAGCGTTGCCCGTGAATGAAGGAGTAACCTTGCTGAAAGCAGAGCCAAAAGAAGAAACTCTTAGTCCTCAGAATTCCAGTGAAGAAGCATCTTCTGTTCCTCCCCCAGAGGCACCAGCCGAAGCAGAAGAGGTGTCTGTGCAGGAAAGCACAGAGGAGGTATCTTCGGATGATGAACAGAATCACAAAGTAAAAGAGAGTTATTTCATTTCTAACAGTAGCCAAATGGATATATGCAGTAACTCTTCGGGTCCAGAGGTTTCTGCGACAGAAATACAAGAAACAGTCATTCCAAGCAGCTGCCTCAAGTTTTCTGGCTATGACAAGCCTCATGTGCCATTAGATATGTTGATAGATGTTGGCGAGGAACAGCCTGTGGTTGCTTACAGGCTGACTGAGTAACCAGCATGGCTGAAGTCTTTAACCAGAACTCAGGAACAACAGCATTACTGAAGATTATGGAGAGCCTGGGTTATATTAGGAACATCTAGAAATTGTACTTGTTCTGATCCAACCAGAATAACCAGTACACAACTTAGCACAGTGGGATCCTGAAATGGGAGTGAAAGTAGTGCCTGAGAACAGCATAAAACCTGGGGGGGCACTTCATAATAACTACTTTTAGAAGTGTTCATGTATATGGCATAGCTCACTATTTACTAATAGCACTCTTTTTTTTTTTTTTAAACAGTACTCTATGGAGAACAAACTCCTTGAAGGAGTATAAAACAGCAGCTGTATCATTATTCCCTTCTGTTTCAAGTCCTTTTCAAAATTAATTTGATGTACATAATGCTTAAGAAATCCTTCACTTGCTTACGACAGGTGTGCAAGAAATATTTGAGAGTTTTTGCCTTTACTGTAGGTATTCTCTTGTTTTTGTTTTCTATTGAAGAGTATTTTTGTATTAAACAAAATGCTACTATTTCTTGTAAGCAAGCATATGCCTATAACCTTTTCCTGTATATCTTAAGAATTAGATTCTATGGCCAAGAACTATTATTGATAGTCTTTTCTGAAACTAGAAGTGTGTACTTCCAGGATCATTACTTTGTACACTTCGGTGACTGATAGACTTTTTGTTTTATAATGTAAGTCCTCTGACTAAAAAAACCTATTTTTAAAAGTGCTGTTACTTGTGTATAGCTGTATCCATTTGGATCACCTAGATACGTTGTGTAACCGTGTCACATTCTGGATTAACTTCTGTGTTAGCATGCTCGCTGATCCTCACTGGAAAAAAAAAAAAGCATGTAGTGGGTGGTTGCACAGATTCTTTAAAAAATGTTTTCAAAATTCAGCTTTCCTTCAGAACATTTTTATCCTCGTTCTTAGAACAATATGATTTTTTTTTAAATAATAATCAATAGGACATGTTTTCTAGCAGGTTGAAAAAGACTACCATTTTTTCACTTTTTAATGACATAACTCAGGAACTACACCAAATTACCTCCCTCTAAAAATATATCTCAAGAATACATCTCAAGACAATAGAGAAGTAGTGTGGTAAATTGTAGTTCATAAGTTATTGTCATCTGACAGCCCTCTGAATTTTGTAGCATGAGATTATAATTTTGAAATCTGAAGGAAGAGAATTTTATTTTTTATATTTAAAAGCTTTTTCAGTCTGCCTGCAATCCAGTTATTTGCCTTCAGTCAAGATCTGATGGATATTTTCTCTTTGTAGGAAATGTTTATGATAATTGTTAATGAAGCTTAGTTCAGAAAAAAAGGATGTTTTACAGATTCAAGGTGGTGTATCTATGCAAAAATTATATCTTTGTTTTAAAAGATAGTTTTTGTAGGATTATCAGAAATGTTTGCATGCTATAGGAGGTGGTTTTAAAGGAAACCAATATTGTAGTACTTCTGTCTTAACATTTCTCAGTAGCATGAATATTCCTAGGATAAAGTCAGTTTATACAACAGTTTCTGGACTGCTTGCATTACTGCAGATATCAGACATTAACCACAATGGTATATACTCAGTTCCCAAAGATGTGAAGGCAATAGCTGTTCTTTCCTTCTCTACTCAGGGGAAGGTAACAGATCTGTCAGAAGGGTTTTGATAATTTTAGGAAAAGCTGAATCAAACAGGTGAATCTTGTAGTTACGCTATAATGGAAAGCTCAGCTAGAAGGATTTTGGTGATGTTAGCTGGCTTTGATGTGTTTCTGCATTATGTTCAAATGTAGTGAGACACCCCCCCCCCAGTAACTTTTTCAGTATCATGTTCTGAGTTATGTTCCTAGAAGGCATTGCTGGTGACCTACTGCTTAGGATCCACTAGCGTGTAGATCTCCCCATTGCAGAAGTGCAGAAAATAACTCTTGTGGTGTTACAAGTAGGCTTTGAAAATCAGAATTCACTTGCACTTGAAACTTCAACTGAACTGACTTTTCAGGTAATATGGTTCACCACTGAAGCATGCTTTTAGCAGTCTTGCTACTAAAGAGATGATCAGCTGTGTCTTGTGCAGAGTTTGAAGCTGGTGTCATTTCTTTCAGGTTTTGTAGGTTGGTTGATAAGTACAAATGGCAATAAATACCTCAGGAATTTATAAATGTCAGGTAAGTGTTTAAGTTAAATTTGGCTCAGAAATAGGGTGTTAGAAACTGTGAGGTTAGCTTGGTTTTTTTGGAAAGAAATTTCTGATCAGAGAATTTGCTGAGGATTTCATCTTCTTGCTATTGGTAGCTTGTTTTTCTTCTGTAAGTTTTTTCCAAAAAAAATGTTGCTGTTCCCCAAGAAGATCAGGAATTAGCCACAGTAATCATTCCATTCGGTATGTCTGCCTCAAAACTATTCTGTCAGAAGTATGTAATTTCTTGGAAGTTGTTAGATTTACATTCTTAACAGTGCATGTTGAAACCCTGGCACTGTTAGGAAAATTATTAACTAAGACTCAGCCTCTTAGATACGTGCGAACATAAGAGATCACTGAGTGTTTTCTGTTCTGGAAGGTTTTCCTGTTAACCTTTGCTGCCACACTGGAAAGGGAACGGTATTTTTTGCCTGTGTGAGGGCAGATAGATGCATTTTAAAACCAAGTGACTGTCTCGGATTCTTTTTCTCTTCCCCCTGCAATATTACTACATTGTACATTGTCCTGAGTCTTTCAAGTCACATGGAGTCTACCAGCCAGGTGCTAGGATATAATTAAGGACAAGGATATAAAGACAGATCAGAAATGACACTGAAATATATCAGGAGCATATGGGAAAAATTTGGCATGGCGGGTAGTTACATATAATGGCAAGGCACTGTTATTCTCTAAGCTGAAAATCAAGCACTGGAGTATGAATGCTTTGTGCTATACAACATATATATATATATCTATGTGTGCACAACTAGCCACCTCTTGTAACTATCACAAGGTTAAATTTTTTTAAATGAAAATTTCTGAACTGTAATTACAAATTATCATCCTCCTTGCAGGTATGTTTTCTGTGTGCTGTGTACTTAACAAGTAGCCAATAGCATGGGGAAAGTTTAGATGTTTACATTGGTCAGGCTATCTTGCAGTTTTATAATTGTGAAATAAAGAAGTTTAAGGATGCACAAAGCACCAGATTCTTTTATTAGCTGCGACTAGCTGAAAATGTGAAGCCACAATGAGACAAGAATGTGTTCCCAGGGTCAGTAATCTCTATTTCCCCCAGTCTTGTTTCCAGCAGTTGCTAGTAGTGGTATTAAGAGAGCGCCTAAAAACAGGGCAAGTGCATGACGGTGTTTGTGCTGGGATAGAGTCCAGCAGCCTTCAGTGGGAGGACCTCTTGGGATGGGGAACGTGGAAATGCCTTACCAGGTACAGCTAGTTAGCCTTGCTTTTGCAAGTAGTACCAAATATCTGAGCCATGTCGTTTGGAAGCTGTCAGGTAGTATTTATCTATGCATTTTCACTTAACCACTAAATTAGTTTAGTAAATTAATATTCTTGTGGTGATGTAGTAGTTTGTTTAAGCATCTCATGCACAGCACCTTGACACAAGGTATCAAAGTTCGTAACATTTACAGGTTCAAGATCGTTTAATATTCATGCCTTTTCCAGACATACCAGCTATCCAGTATGACACACAGAGAAGGTTTCACCGCTTCAAGCTGTTTCAGGTGATTGTTTCACTCGTCATGGCTGCTCAGCTTTCCTCCCTTCCTGTCTCCTGAAGATGATTTGGGAGATGATGGAATATAAAAAATTGCATCGCAAAACTTTGGCCTAACACCTGACAACATTTCTAAGAAATTCTTTAGTTCTCATTTTTGCACAGACATTGTAACTTTTCATTATCAGATCTGCAATTAACAACAAAGTATTGTGGCAATACTGCGTGCTGGCACAGAAGCATCAAATGTTCAGCTTTTATGCTTTTTCCACATAAATCAATAATGTCATTTAAAAAAAATCATTCTTGTCAAATCTACTGACATCTGTGGAAACAAGACGTCTTGTAGCGTCCCAGTTGCTGAGAACAGACATGCATATTTGTTTGTAGTCCTTCACTAGTTAAGACTGCAGGAGAAGAAACTTGCATGAGAAGAGCTGTTTTTCTCAAGGCTAGAAATAACCGTTTGCTCTGAAGTGGTGCCATATAAACCATTTAGTATTAATAAATAAGAGCTATTGTACTCAAATTAATAGTTTCAGCATATCTTAAAAAAACAACAAACACAAAGCGCCCTTCTTCTTATGTGACTTGCATAGATTTCTTTAGTGTGTTTTTTAAAAATTCAGTCCTTTAACTGCGAAGCCCTTGTTTATTAATACACTTTCTATATTCTCTAAATGGGTGCGATCACTGAGCTAGGTGGGACCTCCAGGGATCTATGGTTCATTCTTCTCCCCAGAACTGCATCGTTCTTCCTACGCATTTGTTTAAAGACTCCATGACCCCATCAGGCAATTTATTCTAAGAGTTCTTTACCCCTAGAAAGTATTTTCTAAGGTCTAATGCAAGTCTTCCTGACTTTAGGAACTTAATTATCCACAGTGGGCCTGCTGAATATACCTTGGTTCTTGTCTGAAATTTGTAACTAAACTATTTGTACATACTGTAAATTTTAAATGTCTGTACATTGAATTAAAAAAACTGTCAGAATACAAATGTGTGTGCTTGCCTTTTTCTTACTGTTATCTTTTGTACTGACGACTAAATCTGCGTTTGAAGCTTGCGCAGTTCATGTTACGTATATAGCGTATGCTTGAACATTACTGAAAATGAATAGAAAACACCGTTTGTGGGAGATTTGTATTGCACGTGCACGTGTGTGTAATTAACATGTAGCTGGTTACTGTATTCTATTTACCGGAGGTATTAGCGTGTAGAAGAATTAAACTAAGGTCGTTTCTCTTTTGTCGAGATACCCTTTGGGTGGAATACCCCTCGCTCCAGGCAGCGGTGGCA